AAATGGGAACATGTGACAAATAATTGATTTCTATAGAGAAAGTCCCAGTAAGAGCTGAATTCTACCAAAATGGTAATGGATACTCTGGGAAGCCATGTGCTCCCATTGCAGGAGTAAGGCCAGCTGTCCTGTTAATCTTACATCCAATGTTTTGGATGGAATTCTGGGAAGGAAAGCCAGTGAAATAATGGCATCTTTTGGCTATTGCGGTGTTTTGACATACACAATTAGATAAGGAGTTTATAAAGCCTGAAGCATTTTATGACAGAATGTAAACATACAGCATTTCCATCAACTTTGAATTCAGAAATACATGTCGCCTAAGGAAAAACAATGTTTTGGAACTAATACCCAACAAAAACTGATTATCAAGAGAAAAATGTTGGCTCACTACACTCTGCTGAAAACACTTAGATTATACAGATATGCAACGAAAAACCACTCACAATGTGTTTTCCCACCTAATTTCAAAATTTAAATGAGCAGGTTTAAAGATTTCAAAAGCTGGGATTATTCCAGAAGCAACAGTATTAATGGAGTCATAGCTTATATGGTGTATTGCTTAGCATATTAAAAAAAAAACTAGTTTTTTTTAATGATTGGTACATAGCTGTGTCTTAACAGTTTAACATGTTGAAAAATTTTCTCTGGAAAATGGGATTACATCCAAAGAAAAAAAAAATGTTGAAATTTAAGTAGATACCCTTTGGATACAAACTGAATTACCGTACATTTATAAAAGATGCTTTTTATTGACCAGTAAAGTTATTAAAAGCAGTTTATTCACTTAATTATAAATAGGATTAATGAAATATGTCAAATTATTATATCCTTCTACTCTGTAGAATGTTTTTATTACATAAAAACTCCACCCCTACAGGTTGAATGATCAGGTATGTCTAGGCAGGGGGGAGTGTGCCCATGACCATGTATAGGGTTAGTGACAATGTTTCTACAAGTGTATTGGTATGTGCTTTAAAAATTTCCAGGTGTATAATAGAGCTGACAAGGGACAAGCTGTGGTGGCTTCTTGGCCACAGCCAGCTACCTGAAGGGAGCGAGTAATTGTCCTGTGGGTTTGGGACCATGGTCACAGGGGACATCAAGCTCAACTGGCATAACATACCACACAAAAGCACTGTTCTACATCCTACTTTGGTGATTAACCACTGGGTCTTAAAAGCTTGCAAGCAGCCATCTAGATGCAACAACGGGTCCCTCCTCCTCCAGAGCAAAGAAGAATGATGAAAAGCAAAGACACGTGGAAAACAGTCCAAGGGACTAGTAGACCATATGGTCCTCAGCCTATATGACTATGAGATCAGAAGAACTAGATGGTGCCCAGCTACCACTGTCAACCACTCAGAGGGGGATTGGCACAGGAGATTCTGTATAGAGTGGGAGAACAATGTGGAACAAAACTCAAAATTATAAGAAAAAGACCAGATTTTCTGGTCTGATAGAGCCTGGTAAGACCCCAGCAACTATGATCCCTAATTACCCTTCAGATCTGGAACCAAACTCACTACTGTGGCTTCCAGCCAAACAATAGGCATAAGGGGGTGAACATTTACATCAATTACATACTCTACTTGGAGCAAATGGGAGAATAGAGGGCAGTGTTTGCACAGGGAGACAGCTCGGAGGGTAGGAGTGCATGCGAGGGAAGGACACAGGGAAGAGGTAACTACCGGAAGGAAGTGGGAAGAGAGCTGTTACATCATGGGGATTGCAGTCAATGTCATGAAACAAAATGTATATGAACTACTGTATGGAAAATGAATTTCCTCTGTAAACTTTCGCCCAAATCACAATTAAAAAAAAAAAAAAACTTCACCCCCTACTTCCCTGTAAGATGCAACGTCCCACGTATTTGAGGAGCCATTGTTGGTTGTCCTCCCCTCAGCTATTTTCTCACTCTACCACTCACCCTCAAAACACTCCAGTCTTCCCACAAGACTTGGTTTTATCCAGCTAACCCACTTTCACACAGACATAGGCTTGGTTAGTCCAAGTTTTCTTGCCATTCCTAGCTTTGGTTTTGCCAAATGAGGCACTTCTAGCCAAGGAGGTAGAAAGGGAAACTGTCAAAAGGCTTCTGGGAAAGGATTTCTGGCTAATAAAATTCTGAGATAGACTTTAAGAGATGCCGCTTCTTTCACTGAGTATTGTGTTTTCGTGTAGCACCTGGATCTGGAGCAACCATCTCACAACCAGGAAGCTAGCTAGCTGACAGCAAGCTGATGTGCTAGAGCCAAGAATGCTTATGTGGGATAAGTTTTCCTTATAACTCAGCTGAGTGAGGATTCATTATTCCTTATGGCTTGACATCCTAATTGATAAAATAACCAATTTGAGAAATACTTCTAAATAACTCATCTGAAGAGGTCCAACTTGCCTTTGACTGGTGGGATTTGGGGTGGCACAGATATGACCATCTGTAATGGCTCATTTCAAGAGAAAAGTAGGAGCAGGTTTCCTCAGAGATGACTGTCCCCATAAACATTAGCTCCATGAACACTTTCATAGTGCCCTCCAGACACATGCAATTTTATCAGCACTTAAATCTTAAAAAACAACCCACCACTACTTTAATACACCTTTATTTCACACCTGCTACAGCATAGTGGCTAAGACACTTGCCTGCTAACCAGATGGCTGGCGGTTCAAACCCACCAGCCACTCCTCGGAAGGAAGGTTGGGCAATCCTACTTCCGTAGTGATAACTGTCTCGGAAACCCAAGGAGGGGTCGCTATAAGTCGGGGCCGACTCGACGGCACATAACAACAACAACAACAACAACAACACATGCAGGCACTGTGTTTGGTGCCATGAATAATATACAGATGAATAAGGCATAATTCTTGCCCTTAAGATCTTGGTCTAGTATTGGAAGTTAGACATGAACACAAATAGCTATCATACAAGGCAGAAGTGATATATGCCATATCAAAATATGAGAACCCACAGAAAGAAAATCGTACTTCTGGAAGAAAATAAGAGAGAAGACTCCTTAGCAGTGGGAATGTTTATAATGATAGGTCACATGTAAATAGAAAATTAAGAAAAAAAAATGGTATTCCAGGAAGATTATAAACAAAGTCAGAAGCAGGAGGCATGAGTTCTGTTATGCAGATGGCAAGAAGTCTAGGGGGACTGCAGTTAAGTAGGGTGGGTAAAAGGAGGTGGGGAAAGCCAGCTGGAAAGACATGTTAGGTTCAACTGAGGATGGTTTGTGTACCAGACAAAAAAACATTTCCACTTCAGTGGAAGTTTCTAAACACAGCTGATTTGATCCAAGCTCTGCTTTTATAAAACTTAATGTGGTAGCAATGAGTAGGTGACTTCATAGGAGGGACTAAGAGAAGGAGGCCATTTTAAAACTGATTATAAGAGCCTGGAGTAGAGTAATGAAGTAGTGACAATGAGAATGAACTTAAGGTGGAAGATGGAGAAAGAATTCCAAGGACTTGGCGATGAATGAATATGGAAAAAGGGAGAATAGAGAAGGGAAAATAGGTGAAAAAATGATGTTGGTTTTATTCCTAGAGACAGAATGATCCATTCATAGAGCCAGGAAAATCAGAAGGAAAAAAAAGTTTTAATTTGAGGAGAAAGAGAAGGGAAGAGGATGAGCCTGAAATGCTGGTGGACATCCAGGTAGCAGATCCAATAGGTAGTTAAAACTGGGGTGAGAGTCCAGGATAGAGATCAGAGCTGAAAACAGGGACTGGAAAGTTGTCCACATAGTGACAATAGTTGAAGCAAAGCAATCAGTTGAGATGGTACCATCTCACGGTGGCAAGTACAACCCTATTATCCCATTTTCCTTAATTATGGAATTCTCACCAAAAATGCGTAAGGTATGATGACGCATCATATGAAAAGTGCTATTTCTCTTTGTATGTTCCCCTACCTTCACTCCTAAGAAACAGTTTCTTCAGTTTTGTGATTACAAGCAGGAAAGGTGCCTCCACTGTGGAGGGTCATTTTGAAAAGATTTACTCCAATGGTAGTTTTTTAAAAACTTTGTATTCTTATTTAATTTGAAGAAGTTTTCTGTAATAAAATTATTTTTCTGAGGATTTCAGAAAACCCACTGATGTACCCTACTTCACCAGGTCTATGAGCTGAAAGAGACCTGGGAAGTCATCTCCATCCCCCTCATTTCACAAATGAGGAAACCAAGGCCCAAACAGGCCAAGGGTTGGCCCCAGCCTCTTGCACAGTGGTGATGGCAAAGCTGGACCCATAAGCAAGAGCAGGGTGGTCTCCTCTTCCCATAGCTACATTCCCAGGTGTCTTGCTACCCTTTATATGGGCAGGCAGATAGATTAGATACGTTAGATCGATAGACAGAAATTATAAGCAAGAGTGGCTGGGAATAACAGCTGTATTTTAACAACTGTTTTTCAGTGGGGAAGAGGAGACAATGGCTTCTGATGGGGGCTTTGGGACCCATCAATGCTCTGCCGATCTGAAAGGAAATTACTCTGGCTTTCTCAAAACATGAAACTGCACTTAAATGAAAATATTAGCCTATATTACTACATATCACATTCAATAAGCTTTACAGTAAGCCACAATAGAAATGATGGTACTCTTTGTTGGCATGTGAACACGTGAAAAGGTAATCTGCAGAAAAACAAAATTAGTAAGAATCAGACCTTAGATTGTTTTATCCATCATAGAAGCAAGATCTCTACAGCAATTCTGTTTTGGAAAGTTAAATGAGGTCTCCTTAAAATGAAGTTCCAAATACATCCATTTATATAGAAGATGGAGATAAAAAGACAATTACATTGCAAGGCTATAACTCACAAACATACAGGCAGAGTTCTGATGAGCTGTGTCACTACACTAGCTTCAGTACATCAGCATCCTCCTGGATAATCTGGAAATACCCATCATATTGGTTATAGAATTAATGAGTCCCTTTAATAAAGGGTGTCTCAATATTCCCCCAGGCCGTATAGAGTCTTCCAGTTAGTGGAAGTGATCAGATTTTCAAAAAAACCTTCTTTTTATAGAGAATGTAGGCAATGAGCACCCAGAGGGTGGTGGCGACGATGTTCTGAGTTAGGTGCTCCTTGTGCGACTGGCTATCCTCCAACTTCCACTGAAAGGGGAAGTAGTTCTTGAACACCTCATGGCCGACATACACCAAAATAGAATTCATTCCTGAAGGAGACATAAAGGAGATAATGCTTTCCTGGTCACATCTGGTCATCTATGCCTTTTTTTCAATTTTGTGAAAAAATAAACATAACAAAACATTTGCCATTTCAACATTTTCTATGTGTACAAGTCAGCGATATTAAATTACATTTATCACGTTGTACAACCATGACCACTATTTTTTCCAAATTTTTCCATCACCCTTAACGGAAGCTCAGTGCCCCTGAGCAATGATACCTCCTCTCCCTCACCCTCCCACCCCTACTAATCACTTTGGACTTTATATACCTGCCTATCCCTGATATTTCATGTAAATGGGATCATACAGTATTTGTCCTTTTGTGATGCACTTACTTCACTCAGCATAATGTTTTCAAGGTTCATCCATGTTGTAGCATATATCAGGACTTCATTTTTCTTTATGGCTGAGTAATATTCTATTGTATGTATATAAATACATCTTGTTCATACATTCTTCTGCTGATAGACATTTAGGCTGTTTCTACATTTAGGCTATTGTGAATACTGATGTAATCATAGACAAGTATCTGTCTGAGTCTCTGCTTTCAAGTCTTTTAGGTATATACCTAGGAGTGGAACTATTCAATTATATGGTAATTCAATGTTTAACTTTCTGAGGAATCCCCAAACTGTTTTCCACAGAGGTTGTACACTGTGCATTCACAGCAGCAAAGTAGAGTTCCAATTTGTTCACATCCTCACTAATATTTGTTGCTTTGCATTTGTTTGTTTTATCACAGCCAACCTTGCTGGGGTGAAGTGGCATCTCATTGTGGTTTTGATTTGCATTTCCCTAATTTGGATGGAAGGTTGGGCAATCTACTTCTGTAGTGATACTGCCTTGGAAACCCAAGGAGGGGTCACTATGAGTTGGGTCGGACTCGACAGTACATAACAAAAAAAATTACTAATGTTTAATTCTAAAAATCTATTTTAGTGAAAAAACATAAAGCATGCATATATTATTGGCTACTACCAAAAAATAAGTGATGCCTGTCTTAGATATTTAAGGAGCTCTGATAGTGTCATAAGGAGCTCTGGTGGTGTAGTGGGTGAGACATTTGGCTGCCAACCAGGTCAGCAGTTCAAATCTACCAGCTGCTCGCCAGGAGGAAGATGAGGCAATCTACTTCTGTAAAGATTTACAGCCTTGGAAACCCAATGTAGGTCACTATGAGTCAGAATCGACTCTATGGCAGTGGGTTTGGTTTGGTTTGGTGGTATAGTGGTTAAGGCATTTGGCTGCTAACCACAAGGTTGGTGGTTTGAACCCACCAACCACTCCATGGAGGAAAGATGAGGCAGTGGGCTTCCATAAAGATTTACAGTTTTGGAAATCCAATGGAGGTCACTATGAGTTGGAATTAACTTGCTGGTAGTCGATATGTTAGCTATTTAAGAGTAAACTATCATTTTTTAACAATGTAGTTCTTGAGTACTGCATCTCAAAGGAAAGCTAGTATCATTAACTCACATTTTCTAGACAAAAATCCTGAGGTCCAAAGAACATAACTATTAGTAGAATCAAGGGGCTAAAATGAGTCATTGAAATGATCTGGTCTATCCCTCAGTCTACAGGTAGAAATGCATCTAAGCCATTTCATTTATTTCTTGGTTATCATCTCTGATTATTTCTTATAATGAATAATCTCTAAGGAAGTGCAACCTAATTGGGTACAAATGAGGTGGACTGCTTCCAGACAGTGATGTCCTGTGTGGCCAAGACAATGTGCCTCCCGCTGCTTCTGCCCTTGGCCTGTTGGGAAACATGCTACCAGGGTAGCGGCTCAAAGCCCCAGCACTAAACATGGCCACTCGCTGTCGGGGCCAGTTCCATGTAGGCAATCATGGCTGACTCTCTTTGGGGTTGGGGTAACTTACCTGGGTAAAAGAATGGGGTTCCTGACCACAGTCCCTTCACATCCACAATGGGATACAAGACCAGAAGGATGAAGAAGGCAAAAGAGCTCAGCGCAGTGACATACGAAATAGACCTGAAGGAGTAAAATGAGGTGTCTCAGTGCTCCTGAGGAATGCAGCTGATTTCAACAACCAAAATGAAAATTATTCTTTTTTCTGTACCTACCAGAGATTTTTGTTTACTGGAATAAAGCCTTCATTTTCAGAAACTTTTGTCAAAGCAACAGAAATAAGCCCCTATAAGAGAAAAGAAAGATATAAAAGATTTATATATTCTCTTAAAATAATAACAATATTCAAAAGCCAAAAATTAGTTATTTAAGTTGCTTAGGGAAGGCTGAAGAGCTCTGCTGGTGCAGGGGTTAAGGCATTCAGCTGCTAACCAAAAAAGTTGGTGGTTTGAACCCACCAGCTGCTCTGCAGGAGTAAGATGTGGCAGTCTGCTTCCATAAAGATTTATAGCCTTGGCACCCCAATGCGGCAGTTCTACTCTGTCCAACAGGGTTGCTAGGAGTCAGAATCAACTAAATGGCAGTGGGTTGGGTTTTGGTTTTAGGGAGGGCTGAAAACTGTGCCCTATATTTCACTTTTTTAACTAGAAAAATATTTTTAGAAACTGTAATTAAAAATTATTCTCCAACAAAAATACGTTTTAGTAAGGGAAAGAAGGTAAACTGATAAATTATGGTGACTCTGGAGAGGAACCACAATTGCATGTTGTTGTTATGTGCCCTCGTGGTCAGAGGTAAAATCACTGGACAGTGTTACAAATTCTTTTATTACACTGAAATCTGGAACTTGCTATTTGGACACCTGTTATTATTTTGTCTACTCTTTCTAATATGGCTCCCCATGCACAATACACACCTCAAATCCATCATCCCTGGCTGACTGTTTTATGGGAAACACTGTCTTATTTACAAAAACATTTTCCAAAGAAAATAAACCTGAGTATTTAGGTATAAAGATTTGCTCTCCTCTGTCATTCAAGTAAAGAAGGTTACTTGTTCACCTAACTGCTGCTCTACATTTTATTTCTCTTTAAATAAATATATGTAAAGAAAAGGGACTTTAATGAGGAATGTTGATTACTTACCAGAATACAACACCAGACAGTGAATCGAATCAGGATGCCTTTGGTCTGATCCTTATAGTACAACAGTATTTTTCCTGCCTGGAGAAGAAAACATAATATGATGAAAAGAATTGCATAAAATATATTATTTCATATTCATCCAATGTCTTACTCATTCAACAAACATTCATTTTCCAGCATGCTGCTAGATACTGGAATTACAAAGGTGAAAGAATATTATCCCTGTCCTTGATTAGTGGAGACTGAAAGTGGAGATTTGAAGCCATGGAAGCACAGAGAAGATGTGGCACCTCAAGGAGAAAGAAAGGGAGGGAGACTTCATAAAGGAGAAAGTATTGAGTTGAGGCTATGAACAGAGGTAGCAGATCTCTGACAGTCAAATCAGGAAAGAGTGTTCCAGGCAGAATGGAACAGCATGCACAGAACATAAAAAGCTTAGTGTTTATGAGACATTACAGGTAATACAGAAAGGCTGGAAGGTAGGGAAGGGCATGAAAATGGGGTGGGCAGGTAGGTATTCTAGGTCTCACTGAGAACAAAAAGCCTTCTCCCATAGGTGATGAGGACACAAGGAAGGTTACTGCAAGAAAGTGACAAGTGACCAGCTCAGATGGACCTGGGAGATGGCCCAATCTGCAGCCATATGGAAGACAGACAGGGACATGGTGGAAGTGGAGATAAGAAACATTTTAAAAACAATATAATCTGGACTTCGCATAAACATCCCTCCAAAATTAGAAGTTAATCTGAAACATCCAAGGACAAGAACGTGTTAATAATTTATAATAAGAGCTAAAATGCATTAATGTTTTCTATGTGTTAGAGATTGGGCGATCTACTTCCATAGTGACACTGCTTCGGAAACCCAAGGAGGGGATGCTATGAGTCGGATCTGACTCGACAGCAGTGAGTTTGGTTTTGGTTTTAGTATGTGTTAGTCCTTAGACCTTTACATGAATTGTCTGATTTAGTCTTCACAGCAACTTTATGAAGCAGGTTCTATTGAAGCATGTGCCCTAGGTTACCGAGCGAGTTAGTAGCAGAGGTGAGATTCAAACTTATGCAAGATGGCTCCAAGTCTGTACTTTCAACTTCTACACTATACCATTCCACAGATACAGAATCAGCTAGACAGCATTTATAAGGATTAAGTGAATACTGTAAAAGCACAATATAAACTATAAAGTGATGGAGAGATAAAGATAGTGCTTCTAAACATAAAATTGTTTAATCACCTGAATGTGTAAGCTTTAGACCTTCACTATCCAATATGGTAGCCAGTAGCCACATGCAGCTATTTAAATTTTAAATAAAATTGAAAATTAAGTTCTCTTTTATAGAAGAATCCTGATCAAAAGGGAAAAATGCAGAACAGAATTTCAAATTCTCATGAAATCCAGAATTTCTAGAGCCACTAAGGCTAGATGAACCCCCAAGACTATTGCCCTGAGATAATCTTTAAACCAAAAATATCCCCTGAAGTCTTCTTCAAAATAAACAGTAGCTTAACTAGAAAAGACTGTCTGCCTTGAGCATTGTACTCTTTCAAAATCTATATATATTTGATCAAATTAACAAAAGCACTTCCAAAAATTAGGTAGAAAACTTATGAGGCGGTGAGTTTATGTTAATGGGGGAAGAACAATTCAGAAAAGGAGGGTGAGAATGAGTGCACAATTTGAAGAATGTAATTAACGTTGTCACTGAGTTGTACAGGTAGAAACTGTTGAATCAGTATGTACTCTGCTGTGTAATTTCTCAAAAACAAAAATAAAAAACTAAGCTCCTCAGTTGCACTAGCCATATTCCAAATACTCAATAGCCACATGTGGCTAGTGACTACCCTACCACAAAGCATAGAGATCCAATATTTTCATCACTGCTGAAAGTTCTATACGACAGTGCTACTTTATACATCTTTTCCCAACCAGTCAGCTACCTTCAGTCAACAGTTTCAAACACTGATAAAGAGAACTTTAGGCAGAAAAATCTAGACTGTTCAGAAATCTAACACAATTGCATGTGAGATAAACCAAGGATAACAAGAGCCTATTGGGACCATGGTAGCAGGGGACATCAAGCTCAATTCGGATAACATACTACACATAAACATTGCTCTACATCCTGCTTTGATGAGTAGCAACTAGGGTCTTAAAAGCTTGCAAGCATCCATCTGGATGCAACAACTGGTCTCTCCTCATCCAGAGCAAAGAAGAATGAAGAAAATCAAAGACACATAGAAGCAATTAGTCTGAGGGACTAGCAGAACATGCATACCTCAGCCTACATGACCATGAGACCAGAAGAACTAGGTGGTGCCCGGCTACCACTGTCAATGGCTCAGAAAGGGATCAGTGCAGGAGATCCTGGATAGAGTAGGAGAATAATGTGGAACAAAACTCAAAATCATAAAAAAGACTAGGTTTACTGGTCTGATAGAACCTGGTTGAACTCACTCCCATGGCTTCCAGCCAAACAATAGACAGGCACATAGGGTGAACATTTACACCAGGCAAATACGCTCCTTAGAATGATCAATCATGGAAGAACAGAAGGGCAGTATTTTCATAGGGAGATAGCTTGGGAACAGGAATACACAGGAAAGAAGGACAAAGGGAAAAGGTAATCACAGGGAGGCAGTGGGAAGAGAGCTGGAGATTGCAGCCAATGTCATGAAACAAAATGTGTATGAACTGCTGTATGGAAAATGAATTTGCTCTGTAAACTTTCACTCAAATCACAAGAAAAACTGAAAGAAAAATAAAAAAGAATGAGAGCCTGTACTGACTTTGGTATAAAAGATATATAACAGGATGCCATGAAAATGTATGTGAAAGAATGTAACAAAGGGCATGGGACATCCCAAAATCACCCCCCCCAAAAAGTCTTTTCAAAGTGTATGTGAACGGCTGTATGGAAAATGAATTTGCACTGTAAACTGTCACCCAAATGACAATAAAAATTAAAAAAAGAAAAGTCTTTTATCCAGAAATTGCTATGCATCCACTTCTAAGATAAGCCATAAAAATAAGATTTTTTTGGGGGGGAATAAAGTAATTACAACTAATTATTTGAATGTGCTAAATTTCAGCAACATGATCTGAAGACTAAAATTCAGTGCATAAAACTGAGTATGTTTTAGCCCAATGCCATGGAAAAGGACATGCTTATTTTGTTTTAATGAAATCATTTTTGGATTAGTGATGCATCTACAATCATAAACTTTCAGAAAAATGAAATGAACAGATACCTGAACTCCTAAACACGCTATCACGATGGAATTGATGGTTCCAAGGATTCCTTCTGGATCATAGGCCACCTTGGTGTGGTACAGCACCTGACAGAGAAAGGTAAGGGAACACGAATTCACCATGAAAAAGCACACCAACAACTCACCTTCCCCGGGGATTTACTGAGACTGAAACCAAACATGAATGCAATCCAATATTCCATGTTTTGTGTTTTTACTACAGAAATTCATTGCCAAGTTATGAGGGTTATAGGCAGAATAGCTCTAGCCAAGAAAGTGTGTTGTGTAACTTCAAAAGAGAATGCAGAACCCCATGGGGGCCAGTTCCAGCAGCAGCCACTTCAACCAGCTACTCAGAAAACAGTGTTGGGGCCCTGCCCAGTGACATGATGCATTCCAAACCAGTTTAATATACAATACATAATCTACTTCCCTAGTGATGCCGCCTTGGAAACCCAAGAGGGATCACTATGAGTCAGATCCGACTCAACGGCAGTGAGTTTGGTTTGGTTTATTTTTGAATGCCTTTGTAGTTCACTTTCAGATTTATTCTTTTTAGCCAACCCTGTTACAACATCAACAGCATTCTCATCCTCTTTCAAGGCAAAGAATAACATTTAAAAATGCAAATAACTGAGTTTACATTAATGGTGGTAGAATAATTACAAAGAGGATACTAATAACTGTTATACAGTATGAAGAATGTAACCAAGTTCACTGAATATTACATGTAGAAATGGTTGAATTGGTGAATGTTTTGTTGTGCATATTTTTGCCACAATAAAAATAAATAGAATGTTTGGCGAGTAGCGACTGGGATCTTAAAAGCTAGCAAGCTGCCATCTAGAGGCAACAATGGGTCTCTCCTCATCAAGAGCAAGGAAGAAAGAAGAAAACCAAAATTAATGGAAACAATTAGTCCTAGTGACTGATACACCATCCGATCTGCAACCTATACAACTATGAGATCAGAAGAACTAGATGGTACCCGGCTACCACTGTCATCTACTTGGAAGGAATATAGGAGTTTCTGGATAGAGAAGGAGAACAATGTAGAACAAAACTCAAAATCATTTGGAGGAAGAAAAAAAAAGAAGGTGGGGACCAGGTTTGCTGGTCCAATAGAGCCTGGTGGAACCACTGAGACTATGGCCCTGAGCTGCCCTTCAGGTCTGGAATTGAACCCACACCTGTGGTTTCCAGCCAAACAAAGTACAGGCATGTAAGTTAAACATTTACCTCAAGTAGACACACGCCCTGGAAAGAACAATCATGGGAGAAGGAAGGGCTGCTTATGCACAGGGAGACAGCTCAGGGGGCAGGAGGGTATGGAGGGATGGACACTGCGAAGAGGTAACTATGGGGAGGAAGTGGGAGGGGAGCTGTTGTATTGTGGTAAACTGTGGTCAACAACATGAGACAAAGTATATGTGAACTGCTGTATGGAAAGTGAATTTGCTCTGTAAATCTTCACCCAAGTCACAATAAATAAATAAATCCAATAAATAAATAAATAGAATGCACTTGTGGGTTTTTTTTTAATTATAAAATGAACGTCATAAAAATTCAAAAACTAAAATGAATGTCATTACAGAAATTTAGGACTACTCAGTGTGGTGGATGCTGGAGTGCACCACCCAGATCCTCTCCTGCTTTCAGAACCAAGCATTCATTCCTTCAGCTGCTAGAATTATCAGCACCCAAAAGCTCTTAGCCAAGTTCATCTCTGGATTGTCTTTGGCTAAAGAGAGCTGCCTCAGAGGTCACATTCCCTTGTAAGGAGCACTCCACATCCAATCAGAGATACAAAGGGCCTGATCCCTTAACCCAATAGGAACAACTCTGAAGAGCCACTCAGGTTACAGAATGCCTATGGGATGAGAAGGAATCTTTTTGTTACTGCAGTGCAGTTTAACATCTCCCCAACCCAGTCCCACTTCCTTTATTCCCTAACAGGTGTCGACTCCAAAAGGACTCCTCAGTAAAGTGCCTGCACATGAATCTCTGCTGCAGAGCCCAGTGCCCAGGAAATCTGACCTGAGTCATACAGAAAACTGCCACTACACATTTTACACAATGCTCTCTCATTGTAAAATACAAAGCAGTGCTCAGACACTGCCATATCATGAGCAGTAAAGTCTCTAAATGCTAAAGTTAGCTAACTTTTAAAATAAAAATTAGTTCCTATCATATTTTATTAAGGAGTCCCTTATAGTGCCTAAAGGAGCTCTCGTGGCATAGTGCCCAAGACATTTGAATGCAAACCAGAAGGTTGGCGATTCAAACTCACCAGTCACTCTATGGAAGGAAGACTGGACAATCTACTTCCGTGAAGACTTACCACCTCGGAAACACAAAGGGGGTCACTGAGTTGGAATCAACTTGCTGGCAGTGAGTTTGCTGTTTTTCTTTTGCAGTGGTTAAGCACTCGCCTGCTAACCAAAAGGTCACTGGTTCAAACCTACCAGCGGCTCCAAAGGCTGCAAAGATGCAGTCTGTTTCCATAAAGATTTACAGTCTTGGAAATCTTAAGGGGCAGTTCCACTCTGTCCTATAGGATGACTATAGTCAGAATCAATATGATGACACTAGGTTTCATTTGCTTGGGTCTGGCTGGTGTAAATGGTTAAGCACTCAACTACTAATTGAATGGTTGGCAGTCTGAACCCATCCGTAAGTATCTAGAAAGAAAGGCCTGGGCCTGCAATTTGCTTCTGGAAAGTCAGTTTTGGAAACCTTGCAAAGCATGGCTTTACTCTCCACACACTGGGTTGCCATGAGTCGGAATCAACTAGACAGCAATGGATTTTGGGGAGGTCTGGTGGCATAGTGTCTCAGGCATTTGACTGCTTAACCAGAAGGTTGGCGGCTCAAAGCCACCAGCCACTCCTTGGAAGGAAGACTGGGCAATCTACTTCCATAGAGATACCGCCTTGGAACCCAAGGAGGGGTCGCTATGAGTCAGAACCAACTCAATGGCAGGGAGTTTGGTTTTTTAATTTTATATATTATTAAATGGACATTTTGAGGTCAGCCAGCTCTTTCTATTTTCCTTCACCTCGGAAATGCTAAGTTACAACATCCAAGATCAAGCCAATCTCACTCACAGCAGAAGAAGGATGCTGGTAAAGGTGATCATCTCCCAGAAGCACACGGTCAATGTAGCCGGCAGCTCCCCCAGTACAATTTGGATACTTCCCAAAATCTCCAATGCCCCCAGGGCCAAGGTAACCACTATAAACATGAAAAACACATATTTATTTGATAAGACTTCAGAAGGGATAAAAGCATAGCTTAGTTTCTTATGCAGCCTAAAAAAAAAAAAGAGCCTCAAATATGTGCAAACCTAAAAATCTCTGGCTTTCATGCACTCTTGCCAATGCTCTTTGACTTGACTGATCCCCACACTGTTAAGGCAGGAGGCCCAATTTCTGTTCAAAATGACACTTAAAAAAAAAAAAAAGGAGTAATTTCTCTTGACATACACTAAACTCTTCTACCAATACAAAATATGCTTCAGAGGAAAAATCAAATGAAAGAAAATTCTTCTGACTGAGGAACTTGAGAGCTCTAAGCCCATGGCAGAAAATGACATACAGAAAGAAATTATCTATCCAGAAATGGCCTGCACTAGGGTTGTGGCAAAGGGACTAGAAGGAGACAGATAGATTTGAAAACACAATACTAGCAAGACCAACAGTTGATTAGATATGAAAGGTGAGAGAAAGAAGAAGCGTCCAAGAGAACATGCAGCTTTCTGGCTTGGGCATATGGGTGATGCCGCCCACTGAGACAAGATACATAACCGAAATAGACAGCCGGCAGCAAAAGAGTCACATTAGATTCCCTTCCTCACCTCTTCTCACTATCTTAGGTTCTTAGCTGCCAGTTACTCCACACTCTGTAACACTGTGGACCATCTATGTTGGCTGGTATTATGGGTTGAATTGTGCCCCTAAAAAAAGGTATGTTCAAGTCCTAAACATGGTACCAGTGAATGTGATTTTATCTGGAAATAGGATCTTTGTGGACATAATTAGTTAACACAGCATCATACTGGAGTTGAAAAAAAAGACAAAACAAAACTCATTGCCACTGAGTCGGATCTAACTCATAGTGACCCTTCCTTGGGTTTCTGAGGCAATATCACTATAGAAGTAGATTGCTCAATTTTCCCTCCAAGGAGTGGCTGGTGGGTTTGAACTCCCAGCTGTCTGGTTAGTAGTCAAATGCCTTAGGCACTATGCCACCAGAGCTCCCATACTGGAGTAGGGTAAGCCCTAATCCAATATGACTGGTACCCTTACAAAAGAAAGAGAAAAGACAGCAACAGACAGACACAGAGGGAAGACAGCTGTGTGAAGATGGAGGCAGAGATGAGAGTTAGGTTGCCACCAGCCAAGGAATACCTGGGGCTGCCAGAGCTGGGAGAGGCAAGAAAGGATCACCAATTACAGTCTTTCCTCAATTTGGACTTGTAGCCTCCAGAACTGTTACACAATAGTTGTCTATTGTTTTAAGCCATCTTGTCCCCAGCCCTTACCAAAAGAAAGGATTATCTAGAAGCATTCACTTACGTAGGGCATCCAGGAACTGGTAAGAAGAATGTTAAGCTAAGCCAAATGCTTTCTAGCATCAGAATGAAGAGCCACTGTGGCCAGCTGAATACAATGTCCCGCAGAGAAGAGCAGCTTCTCTCCTAAATAAGAAACAGGAAAGAAACAGCCATGAGCTAAATGCAAACAGAAGGGAAAATAATACCCAGTGTAGTGTATGTATCTGGAAAATTCCCTGGAATATTTTTCTTAGCCCTTAGAGTAATAATAAGAAAAAATATATATACATATATGTATACTTAAGATGTATCATGCTGTCTAGAAGGAGCTCTGGTGGCACAACGGTGAAGCATTTGGCTGCTAACCAAAAGGTCAGTGGTTTGAATCTACCAGCTACTCCACATTAAAAAAATGTAGCAGTCTGTTGCTATACAGATTTATAGCCTTGGAAACCCTAAAGGGTTGCTATGAGTTGGAATTGACTCAACATCAATGGGTACATACTGTCTAGATGCTCCCTGTCTATGAAATATCACAGTAAAAACATTGGTAACAAAGAAATCAGGGGACAATTCCACTCTTAGACATATACTCAAGAGAATTAAAAACATACCTGCTCACAAAACCTATACATGAATGTTCATAGCAGTATTACTAGTAATAGCCAAAAATATTAACAACTCAACTGTCCATCAACTGATGGATAAATAAAAGGTGTTTGGTACATCCATACAGTGGAAAATTATCACCAATAAAAAGGAATGAAGTACTGATACATGCTACAACTAGATGAACCTTGAAAATGTGCTGGGTGGAAGAAGCCAGACATAAAAGGCCATATACCATGTATGATTTCATTTATTTGAAATATCCAGAATAGGCAAATCTATAGAAAAAGAAAGTAGATAAATAGTTGCCTGAGGATAGGGGTAGGAAGAGGTAAGAGCAATAGGGAGTGATTGTGAATTGGGATGGGGTTTCTTTTTGGGGTGATGAAAATGTTCTGGAATTAGAGTTATAGTGGTTGCACAACTCTCTGAATATACTAAATACCATGGAACTGTATACTCTTAAAGGTATGTTTTATGATGTGTGAATTGTATCTCAGTAAGACTATTATATACAAATAAATTAATTTAGTTTTAGTTTTTTAAAAATTAAACTTTCGGAGCTATTAGAGTTGAAGGAAGAAGGAATATCAACTATTCTTGATATCACCTTCTGCCTCACTTAATCACAGCTCCCCAGAACAGTCTCTACAGAACCCTTAGGTCCCACAGAAGGACTGAAAACTACTGCTGTAATATTCATGGTTAACCAAGGTCCATGTGCACCTGTACATGTCTTGTCTCCATTTAACCTCAGAAAATCTACAGCCTGAGGATACTGATACACTGATAAGGAGGGGCATAGGAAATAAAGTAATACTGATTAAAAAGCACTCCAAAATGAATAAAACTAGGCAATCACTATAGGAAGAACCAAGAAAGTTTTGAGATTCAGTAATAACCTTGCCAGTTACATATACTGAAGGAAGCTAGAAAACAAATAAAGCTTTATTAATTTATTAAGGAGGAACACAAATGAAAGAATTTAAACATATCCACCTTATTTTTTACGTCTAATGGGAGGGAAAAAAAAATGGCTGTCATCTCAGTAAACTCATGTCCGATATTTATAGTCGGATAGGAGGTAATTACAGAAGAGGTGAGACTTTCACATGCTATTATTAAGAAGAAATAAGAACTAGTGAAGTACAGTACTGTCATCCTCCCATAGTCCACGCTGGCATTATTCTCAAAGCTGAATGCTTACAGCATTTGACTAAATAGACACTGAAATGCTATGTGAGTTTTGGTGTTTTTTTTTTTTTTTTTTTTTTAAATATATCGCTACCATATCCCAAAAAACCAAACCCACTGCCATCAAGTTGATTCTGACTCACAGTGACCACCAAAGGGTTTCTAAGGCTGTAAATATGGAAGCAGACTGCCTCGTCTTTCTCCCAGAGTGGCTAGTGGGTTTGTACCACTAACATTTTCATTAGCAGCACAATGCCTTAACTTTAGCACCACCAGAGCTCCTTATTTTTACCATAGGAAATTGAAAAAATGTCAATACCACCCCCAAGAGACTGAATTACAAGCTAGAAGTTGATGATGCTATTCAGTGTCATCAAGAACACTGGACTAACAGGGTTAAAGAATCTACTGAAGTAGAGTATTGCATTCGTAACTAATAAAGTTCTAAAAACTATACACTAAATTTCAAAGTGGCTTTTTTCCCCTCTTTTTTTAAAAGCAGGGTTTCTTACCGAGGCACAATTTTCAGGCACAGGCTTGGCAAAGAGGAGTTCTAACATGGCAACCACAAAGTAAGTTATGCCCAACCTCTGCAGCACACCAGGAATTCGCACCTTATCCCAAGACACTGCAGAAAACACAAACTGGGTCAAGTGTTAGGCCAACATTTCTCAACTCATCCCAAGGCAACATTATTTTTTCCTAAGGGGAAAAAATATAAATTATATTATATCTAAAAAAACAAAACACCAAACGCACTGCCATCAAGTTGGATCCAACTCATAGTGACCCCTCCTTGGGTTTCCGAGGTGATATCACTACGGAAACAGATTGCCCAACCTTCCTTTTGAGGAGCGGCTGGAGGGTTTGAACTGCCAGCCTTCTAGTTAGCAGTCAAATGCCTTAGGCACTACAGCACCAGAGCCCCCCTATATTTTATCTAAGCAACTCTTTTTTAAACCTTTACAGATAGAAATATAGTACAGTGAGGAGATATGGCTGCAACCCAAGTTCCAAGAACAGACCAATCCCACTCAGCAGGAAGGTCAGGGACAGACCTGAAATCTATGACAGGAAGCAGGCCAGTTGGGAGACTGAAAATGGAATAAAAATGACTTTCTTGGATGTGATGACAGAGCAGGGACTATGTGTAGCCCTGTAGTTCATCTCCTGGCCTTTTCTCAATAGGAACCTAAATTCAACTCTCATGTTCATCAGGAGACTGCAGGCACAGAACAGCCCACCAATCACCTCTCTCTACCCAACAGGCTACACAACTCTATCAGTGGCAGAGAGTGACTCCACAACAAGCTAATCTTATGGGGAGCAATGGTTCACTTTTTGGAGATCCACCAAAGCAACTTTTATGTTACTATTTCCCTTATATAGGAGCCTTATATAGGAGCTCTGGTAGCATAGTGCCTAAGGCACTTGACTGCTAACCAGAAGGCTGGAGGTTCAAACCTACCAGCCACTCCTCGGAAGGAAGATGGGGCAATCTACTTCCATAGTGGTACTGCCTCAGAAACCCAAGGAGGGGTCGCTATGAGTCGGGTCTGACTTGACAGCACAACAACAACAACAACACTACTTCCCTTATGGTTCCAAATGGAAGTGACCTCTACCTCCTCCTAATGCCTACAGCCTTACAGTAAAATTGCTCATTATCTGAGTGATTTAGCTAATAACACTGTAAACCTCTTCAGGACAGTGACTGCCACCTTCCCAGATTATGACACTGGTAACATGCACAGGGCCCACATCCTCCCCTCATTTTTCCCGTCTCACTGGACACCACTAAAGTAATGACAAAACAACTCAGCTGACATGCAAGGAAGTGCTGACAAAGATGGATTCTTGAACTACCACACATTATGGAAAGCTGATGAAATGAAGGTGGCATGAAGGCATGATCTGAAAACTAGGTGACCTAGTCTGGTCCTTGCTCTGCTCCTCACTATACTTTGTATGATCCAGGAAACCACTTCAATCTCTACTGGCCTCAGATTACTCTTCTGTACAACAGAGGGGCTGGAGTATCTTATGGGGCTCCTCCCAGGTCTAAAAATCCCATGAAGATAATAATAATGTCCAAAGTTAACAAGTATTATATATACTTTTCTAGTAATTATTCTTTTTGCAGGTACCTGAGATGGTAGGATTACATTTCTTTCAAATTATAACATGTAGTTTCCGTATTTCAACCAGAATATATAGTAACAGAGGGGGAACAAATACGTACATGGACCAAGGCAATAATTGGGATTCACAATGACAATTCCTATGCAGATTAGCAGGAAACTCCTCCACGCAATTTTCCCCAGCAATTTGAATTTTGAATATCCCCTCTGCAGTATGGAAGTCATTGACAGAAAAATTGAAGACCCCATAATAAATACAAACCTAAAAAGAAAAAGAGCTATTAACAGGTGACCTCTGCCAATTTTTTTAATCTATGTATCACTTTCATTATATAATATATTCCAGAGATGCAATACATAATTTTTAAAAAAAGTAGCCAATTATTAAAATAATATCAGGTTAATAGTGAAAACAAAGATTAAGACATTACTCTGTTGGTCTGTGAGGTATTTTGACAGGAAATCTTTAATTCCTATCTTGGGAGGAAAATCCTTGAGGACTGAGTAGAATTCCAAAGGTCTATCCTACCATTTAGTTATCACAGAGAAACAATGATGCAGATGCTATAATTCAAATAATGTGACATTCACCAATACTCCTTTTCAAAATCCTTAAGAAACAAAACATTTCAATAACTTCTAAATTCACTCCAGCTCCTGAAAGAAAAGTCAAAGCTTTATTTTTCTTCCTCCTATTTGGTCTGAGCCACACACTTCTTTTTTTTTTCCTTTTATAATACTAAACTATTTTATTTTAAAAAAACTAATCAGACTACTAATCAAGGAGCCCTGGTGGTACAAGGCCTTGGTTGATAACCGAAAGGTTGGTGACTCGAACCCATCCAGTGGCACCATGGGAGCCATAAAGATTATAGCCGAGAATATTCTATGGGGGTTGCTATGAGTTGGAGCCAACTTGATAGCACCTAGATGTCGATGCTAATATTAGGGAGGCTGGACGAGGGGTAAATGGGATCTCTGTACAATTTCTGCAACCTTTTTATGAAGGTATTTCAAAACGGAAAATTAGACAAAAAAAAAATCCTATGGGGCAATTTTACTCTAAGTTGAAATTAATTCAACGGCACCTAACACAATTTTTCACATTATTTGGCTAAGGGTTACAGAAATGAAGAGTTTGTGCTAGGTGTCCCCTGGCTTCCCCTCCTGGAGTTAATCTACTCAGACAAAAGCCCCTAATAACAGGAATAGGAAGCAACCTACTTGCTCTGTCAAGAACCTCAGAGAATATACATAAATAATAAGCAAGTTTCCAAGAATACAGAACTTTCCTCTACCAAATCCTTCAAAAAACAAAACAAAATCTCCAAAAACAGTCTGAGTTCATATTAACAATAGAACCAAGGACATAAAAAAATGGATGGGAGTAGCTCAAAGAATCATAGCAAAGATACAAATTTCACATGGTATAGGAAGAATTCTTTAAGAATAGGCCATGATGATCAGAGATAGAGTTTGGTCACTCCCCTATTACGGACAGCCCCTGGGTACACTTGCCATTTAATGTTGTGTAAATGTGCCTGCACTCTGAAATAAATGAATCAACCCCTACTTGCAACAAATTCTTCATTACAATCACTTTCACTTGCTGCATATGTAGCATTTTTTTTTTTTTTAAATCAATGAAAAGGCTTCCAGCCTTTTCTTGCAGTAACTCCAAAACCCACTACGGTGGAGTCAATTCCAACTCATGGCAACTCTATAAAATAGGGCAGAACTGCTCCCATAGGGTTTCCAAGGCCATTAATCTTTATGGAAGCAGACTGTCACATTTTCCCCCCATTTTCTTGCACTAAAATAAAAAACTAAACCCAATGCCATCGAGTCAATTCTGACTCATAGTAATCCCATAGGACAGAGTTGAACTGTCCCATAGGGTTTCCAAAGCTACATACATCTTTACAGAAGCAAACTACCTCATCTTTCTCCCATGAGCAGCTGATAGGTTTGAAGCACCTACCTTTTGGTTAGCAGTGAAATGATGTAACCACTGTGTCAACAAATAAGAACCATATGTACTTGGCCTGATATACCTACAAATCCTTAAAGACATAGGAACTGATCTTATTCATAACCCAGGGACCATCTGTTTTCTAAATTTTAATTTATTACTATCATTTCCTTGTTATGAACTTATCAGTACTAACTGATACCAATACTGTTACTTCTTTTAGGAAATATGATTTTATACTTTCAAAATAATCAAAACCAAACTCACTGCCATGGCGTCAATTCCAACTCATAGTGACTCTCACTGGGTTTCTGAGGGGGTATGAAAGTAGACTGCCCCATCTTCCTTCCAAGAGTGGCTGCTGTGTATGAATTGCTAACCTTCTGGTTAGTAGTCAAATGCCTTAGGCACTATGCCACCAGAGCTCCTTACTTTCAAGATCAGTGGCATTTAACTACATAGTTAGAATTTACGATTCCCTGTAAGATTCCAGGATCCAGTATATCATATATACACTAACAAAATGTTTTCCTACACAAAACCACACTTTTATGCTCATATATTTTACGGATGAACTATACCAAACATAAGAATTATTTCTAGAAGGACCTCATAACAGCAAAGACCTATGCATATGCCTGCGACCCAGAACTAAAGGCTGAGCTCAGAAAGAGGTTCCAGGGTCATTTAAAAAAAAAAAAAAAAAAGAGAACTGTAGAAGAGATGATGGAACCAAAAACCAAACTCACTGCCATAGAGTCATTTTTGACTCATAGTGACCCCTCCTTGGGTTTCTGAGGGGGTTTCTCTATGGAAGTAGATTGCCCACTCTTCCTTCCCAGGAGTGACTGGGTAGGTTTGAACTGCCAACCTTCTGGTTAGCAGTCAAATGCCTTAGGCACAATGCCTCCAGAGCTCAGTAAACACAGAGAAATCATTAACTCACCATGGAAATACAAGGTCAGCCACTGTCAGTCCTGTAGAACAACATAAGCACAGATATTAAGAAAAAGAACTCTGAAATATAAATATGCCCTAAATTGAGAATGGCTCTACTATGTACTGATACAGAAAATAAGCTCACACAGACAGTATAGAGGAAAACAGTGAGGTTAAAAAAAACACACACAAGCACATGCAAACAGATTACTCCCTTAAGGCTCTGCAACCAGTTACAGACCCAGGGCATTTCCAATAAACATTACAGAATACCAGAGAACCAAACTAGAAGTATATAGGCAAATTCCTGATCTCTGAGTAGTGCAGTAAGAGCTATTCAAAATCCATTTCTGAAACAACTACCAAGCTGGATTCACAGGCATTATTCAACACCACAGAGACCAATCTCAGTTCAATGGCACCCCAAGGTGAGTCATGAATCTTAGAAACAGAATCCCCACGAATGCTGTATCTGTAATGAAAAGCATAGCTAGACTAGGAAATTGATCATTTATAACCAAGTATTAACATCTTCTGTAGAGTCCCACAGTCCCCCAGCAAGGACCTTTGAGGTCTCATAGATACATAGTGAAACATTATGGATGCACAGCACACTCAAGGACAAACAAAACTAAAGGGCTAACAGGATACTCTACTGGTCATTCTATGGGGCAGGAGCTCTGCAGCTCAGAGGGGGCTGCTGGGGCCTCATCTGGAGCAGCTGGGGTTTGCTGAGTGATTCTCCCACCCTATGGTTCTCTGAATGGACCTGTGGGAGTGGTGCTGTCTTTAGGAAATACTTTACCGTTCCAACTTGCATGTTTGAAGTACCAATATTTTCCTCCTCCATAATTCACAAAGACCATGAGTATGAGAGCGATCCTACAAAGCCAACAAAGAGAACACCTTCAGGGTTATCTTATGTGACATGAAATGACCGAACTACAAGAAATACATGTATATCTACAAGGTACAGTCATGCAATAATGCCATTCTATCAAACTGTTTATAACACTAAGTAAGATTTATAGAGCAAGAAACAATTATTTTTCTAATCACTACAATTGTTGTTGTTATGTGCCATTGAGTCAGCCCCGACTCATAGAGACTCCTCCTTGGGTTTCCAAGGCAGTATCACTATGGAAGTAGATTGCCCCATCTTCCTTCCGAGGAGTGGCTGGTGGGTTTGAACCGTCAGCCTTCTGGTTAGCAGTCAAGTGCCTTAGGCACTAAGCTACCAGAGCTCCCATCACTACAATTAGAACCATACAATTAATTAACTTCTGTTGCCAGTATCTCCAACATTATGTCTTAAGAAAAATTTATACCAGTACTAAAACATTTAACTTGAAAACAAAGTGAAACACTTCCAATAACTCAATTTTGTGCTCATTATTTTTGATGTTTCAGGCAAATGAACTATATAGTAGAAGGCACATGGACAAGAAGGTTCACATTTTGGCTCTGTCTCTCTCATTAGACATTAGGACCATGGCAAGATTCTCATCAGTTACCTCAGTTTCTTCATCTGTGAAGGAGGGGAATGTGCAATACCCTATACAGTGATTGGGAGCTCTGGTGGCACAGCGCCTAAGGCATATGACTGCTAACCAGAAGGCTGGCAGTTCAAAACCACCAGCCACTCCTCAGGAGGAAGATGGAGCAATATACTTCCATAGTGATACCACCTCGGAAACCCAAGGAGGGGTCACTATGAGTTGGAGTCAACTCGACGGCAATGAGTTTGGGTTTTTTTTTTAATGCACTACCTATTCATGAGAATATGTTATAGCACCTCACCAGCACACTTAGCAAATGTCAGCTTCTGTCTAATCTTTGAATATCTCATCTCCAAAAGTAGCAATGATAATCAGAAAGAAAGAAGAATGCAATAAAATATATTCTGGATATGCTATTGTTTGTACTAATTCTGCAGAATGCAGGGAATGAAGACTTTAGTAGGTTAATAGGGGGAAGGACGGAGACTCTGGTGCCCAACTGCCTGGCTTTACCAGTTAGTACCTGTGTGACCTTGGACAAGTTACCTAACCCTGTGGCTCGAGTTCTTTACCTGAAAAACATATTAAAATATCTACTTAATTGAATTGTTGGAGTCTCTGGGTGGTGCAAATGGCTAACACGCTTAACTGCAAACTGAAAGATCAGAAGTTCAAGTCCACCCCAAGGCACCAAGGAAGGCAGGCCTCGTGATCAACTTCTGAAAAATCAGCCGTTGAAAACCTTATGAAGCACAGTTCTACTCCGATACACATGGGATTGTCATGACTCAGAATCCACTCCATGACAATTGATTTGGTTAACTGGATTGTTAAGAGATTAAATAAATAAGACAAATTGAAACAGTGCCTGGCTCTTTGGGAGAAATAAAAAAAAATCATTAGCTGTTATTATCATTATTATTATTACCTAGATTCAAATACACCCACCAAGTATACTCAGAGCTCTGGCATTTGCACTGAGGTTATCACTGGGATTCAAAAGGTGTTGGTGGGCAGACATGAAAGAATTGATACCTAAATATTTATTTCAAGCTAAATCATTTTATACTTTACTTTCAGAGTTTGGTCCTGGTTTTCATTTTCCTACCAAAGCTATAAAACAGTAACAATTTACTATATGAATCCACGAACATGTTATCAAAAGATTGAATACCAGAGTATTCGAGATGTCTTGCTAGCACGGTGAAGAATATGTATTGATTTTTCCACACTTCGCCATTTCATTTCTAAGCTAGCACTTCTTTTCATTTCTCAAGCTACTGTCTGGACATGGTGTTTCAATTTGTAGCCCTGAGTACAGCTCCTGGTCTAAACGTAAATGACCTTAACTCAGCAGAATCTATACACAAGTAGAAACTGGTCTGGTGATGTGACAACACCCTTATCTCTATCAACATGTTATATTGCTACCATGACCGTTTTCAAGTAAGGGGAGGCTGCTGACATTATTTTACATCCAAGAAATCCTTTCTAGCCTACAAACTAAAGGATATGTAAAATGATTACCTTAAATTACCAGTGTGTTTAATGTAAATATGTAGTCCTATGACTACCTGTATCCACCGTGTTACAAGGGAGCTCCACGTACCCCCTGAATGTGTCTATACAGCGGAGGCGGGGTGGGGGTGCAGACAGGCGCCACACTTCTGGCTGAGTATCACCACTGAGAGGGTCTGCCCTGCTTGGAGATCCTAGCTCCTTCAGGAAAAAAGGAGAAAGAAAGGACAATATACAATGCTAAGGTATAGATGTCATTTTTCTATTTTTTAGGGAAGAAATTAACAGAGTAAAAAGCTAAATACAGTTTTTCTCAGCAACAGATTAATTTGTTTTTGTAAAAATCTCATCTAGAGGTTTAGTTTCTCACTTTGTCTGCTTTTTGTGCTTTTTGCCAGAGGCAATGTTGCCAACATGGTCACAAAGAACTGCTCCACAGTACATCCAGTTACAAGAGTGGAAGCCAATGTGACTATAAATGAGACTGAGTTTATTAATACAAATTTATTGATATACTTAACCAGTATGGTATAGGTCATCAGCATTTATAAATTTAATATTGATGCCTTTAGTCTTTTGTTTTAATCTTGATACTCTCTCCTCTTAACTTGATCAATTCAACACTGCTACTCTGCAGAGTGAAAAATGTCTCTACATTGTACTACAGCCCAAGGTTTCAATCTCACTGAAGAAGGAGAAAAGCATGGAGCCTTTGAAAAAAGCTGAGGAGAAGGCTACTTTTTATTAAGAGCATAGGCATCCTTTGCCAGGAGACCAAAAAACTGGATGGTGCCCAGCTCCCATTACTGAATGCTTTCTTCAAAGATAATAAAGAAACCTGATCAAGGGGAAAAATGTGGAGCAGAATTTCACATGGTCATGGAATCCAGACTTTCTGATGCCATGGAGGCTGGGTGGACCCTCAAAACTAGTGCCCTGAGATAAGCTTTAAACCTTCAACCAAAAATATTCCCTGAAGTCTTCTTTAAGGAGCTCTTGTGGCACAGTGCCTAAGGCATTTGACTGCTAACCACGAGGCTGGCAGTTCAAACCTACCAGCCACTTCAGGGAAGGAAGATCGGGCAAGCTATTTCCCGATTTACTGCCTCAGATATCCAATGGGGGTCACTATGAGTCAGAATCGACTTGATGGTCATGGGTTTGGTTTTTTGGGGTTTGGAAGTCTTCTTCAAACCAAGCAATTGTTGTTGTTGTTGTTATGTGCTGTCGAGTTGGACCCGACTCATAGCGACCCCTCCTTGGGTTGCCGAGGCAGTATCACTACGGAAGTAGATTGCCCAATCTTCCTTCCGAGGAGTGGCTGGTGGGTTTGAACCGCCAGCCTTCTGGCTAGCAGTCAAGGGCCTTAGGCACTACATTACCAGAGCTCCTAACCAAGCAATAGTTTGGCTTAAATAGTAAAGAAAGTCTGCCTTTAGCACTGTGCACTTTTAAAGAACTGTCTATATGGGATCAAATTGACAACAGCAACTAGAAAGGTTAGACAGGAAGCTTAGGGGGCAGAGAGCTTATCTTAATGGTGGAGGGATAATTCAGAAAAGAATGGTGAGGATGGTTACACAACTCGAAGAACAAAAAATGTCCCTGAATTGGACATGCAGAAATTATTGAACTGGTGTAGGTTTTGCTGTGCATATTTTCAACAAAAAATTTTAAAAATTGTTTTTTCAAAAAGAACACAGGACACATGATGTGGTCTTCCACAATATAAATATGATTAATTAAACTAGCTAATCATAATTTATCAAACAGGGAATTGTAAATTTCAAATTTCATCCAGACCCTACAGGATGCATTCTAATAACTCACAGAATTGATGAGGCGATCAGTTTCTCGAGAATTTATTGCTTTAGAAATCCAATTATTAAAGTCATCCAAACTGTAAACAATAAAAGTCTCTGTTAATTTATTTTGTCAGAATTTTCTGAATGATTGGATATCATATTAAAATAAATTAAGATTCATATTCTATATAAGTCATAGAATTAAACATCTTAGTTTTTTTCACAAAATAAAAACAAATCAAAGTTTATAGGAGTCCTAATTACAAACATGCAACCCTTACAGCAGTTTCCTCATCAGTAAAATAGGAATAATGATAAAACTTCCATTAGAGAGCTATCCTAAAAGCTAGATGAGATCATTATTTCCTGTGGCTGGGAATCTTATTAATGATATTGTTAAAATCAAAATAGTGAAAAAACTGAAAACAACCAAAATGTCCTCAATACAGGAATGACTAAACTCTGTGGCATAGTTACAACTATTGAAAATAACAAGAATATGGGCTCTGTCCATAAACTGAAATATGAACAGAATCCATTAAATATAAAAGGCAAAACCCCAATCCCATTCTCTATGATAACTAAATAAAATGCATGTTTATGCACACTGAGAAAGTTTTTGAAAGTAACTTTGGAGTGATTCAAACTGTTAATATAATATTTACTGGGTTCTTTTTTCTCTATGGTTGCTTTAGGCAGAATAGATATCCAGATGGTATTAAACTGATTTGCATGATAACAAAAGATAAACATATTAACTGTGTTTTCTTTAAAATAAAATTTCTACTTGGGAAAAAAAAACTTTCAAAAAGTATATACAGTATTGGCCTTGAAAAACAAAACTACCCGTTTTGCATAAATTTTGCCACATTTGAATTATCCAGTGCACAGAATTTTTTTCCTTTTCCTTTTGTGTTTTTTCCCCTTTGCCATGGAAAGTTTCAAGCATATACATAAGTAGGGAAACTAGTATAATAACCTCCACATGCCCACCACTCAGGTCCAATAAATAAGTATTTACATGAAGCTCATTTCATTTCATCTACACTTCTACCCAGTAACCCTCACTCCTGCCTTGGATTGATAATTTTAAAGAAAATCCCAGACGTTATATTGTTTCATCCATAAACACTTCAGTATATAAGTCTAAAAAACAGACTATTTTTATTTATACATATAACTACAGGACCACTGTTGTTTGTTGTTGTTATGTGCCATCGAGTCGGCCCCGACTCATAGCGACCCCTCCTTGGGTTTCCGAGGCAGTATCACTACGGAAGTAGGATTGCCCAACCTCCCTTCCGAGGAGTGGCTGGTGGGTTTGAACCGCCAGCCGTCTGGTTAGCAAGCAAGTGTCTTAGCCACTATGCTACCAGGGCTCCCATTACAGGACCACTACCACCTTTTCAAATATTAACATTAATTCCTTATATCATCATACAACTAGTTCAAGTTCCCCAACAGTCTCATATTTTTTTTTTACAGTTAATTGTTCAAATCAGTACAAACCACACATACAAAGCATACATTTTTCATTGCTTCTCTTTTTTTGCTTCCTCCTCCTACAACTCAGCTTTCCATTCTAGTTTCTACAGCACTGATAATACCATCATCACAAAATGGAGACATTTTAAGGAAGGGTGAAAAAGAGAAGTTAGGATATTGGGAGGGAAAAAAAATAAAAAACCACAAGAAAAACCTTAATTCTCTCGTGCATGCTTGTTCCCCTAGTGAAAAGGAGAAAGGTACTTTATTCTCACTATTTGTTCAGATTCTTTTCTGGTTCAGTCTAATTTGAACTTCCCTGGACATTTATGGGTATGCTGGAAAGTGAAGGGTAAAAAACAAGGGACTGTGGCTTTGCAAAAAACACCATTCTGCCCAGAGGGTAGAAAGCTGAATCACGTGCAAAGAAGAGTTTCAATTCCGCAGTAGGATAAGATGGAATTTCTTTTTCAAGTGCTTGATGGCAGCTATCAATTACTTTAAAAAAAGTGATGCACAAATTGACTCATATTAAAAACACCAAATGAAAAGACTAATAAACTTGATTATCATTTGCATGTTATCAGGATTGAGAAGATAACATCTTAATTCAAAGAAATGAAACTCCTCTGCTAGGACTTTGTCCCTAGAAAGCAATTAAGTTAAATGCCTGCTCTGAGCAGCAAGTAGTTCTCCCCTATACAAGGTCAGGTTTCTCATACTTACAATTTAATTCTAGGCTGTATAAAGGTAGAGTCAGAAAACTCCCCAAGTTTCAGCGTTTCCCTAAGCTAGGTTTTTGTTGTTTTTCAATTTGGATACAGTTCACCAATAAATTCAAATAATCTTATTCCTTTTAAAACAGGGAAGTTTATGAAACCAGGCCTGGATTTATCTTACTTCTTTTTTTTTCTCTTTTTTCTAATCTCTTGATTCCTCTCAGTAGAATTACTTTTAACTGGGTAGTTGAAATAAAATCCCTCTCCAGAGCTGGAAGCTGGACTAAAGGGAGGGCTACAGCGCTTAGAACTAGAGAAGGCAAAGAGAATCCAGTATGGCAGCCTCCTCCTCAATTACCACAGACTGTTTCCACCAGGTACAAAGCAGAGGTATGAAATTTTTTTCAGTAAAAAATAATTTCCCAAGCATTTTCTTCTACTTTTCAAGGAGGACTGAAGGAGCCCTGGTGGTACAGTGGTTAAAGTGCTTGGCTACAAACCAAAAGGTCAGTGGTTTGAAACCACTAGCCACTTCACGGGAGAATGATGTGGCAGCCTGCTTCTGTAGAGACCACAGCCTCGGAAACCATATGGGATTCTGCTCTGTCCTACAGGATCACCATGATTCAGAATCAACTTGATGGTGGCGGGTTTTGGGTCTTGGGGAGGACTGAAGGCAAAATTCATTGGAACTAGGTTAGCAATACCCTGAAGTCAGGGGTCATTCTTATTCTACACTGAACCTCAAATACTTAAGACTAGACATGGTGGCATAGTGCGTAAGGCATATGACTGCTAACCAGAAGGTTGGTGGTTCAAACCCACCAGCCACTCCTCAGAAGGAAGACTGGACAATCTACTTATGTAGAGATACAGCCTCAGAAACCCAAGGAGGAGTTGTAATGAGTCAGATCGGACTTATTGGCAGTGAGTTTTTTGAGAGGACATGGTGGACCCACAATAAATGTTCATTTAATGTTTTGGATCAAGGACTCAATAGATGGATTTTGATCAAAGGGAGGAAAAATGTTGAACAGAACTTTAATTTTTTATTGAAAACTAGGTTTACTGGATACACTGAGACCTGAGGAACTCCAAATCTATTGCCTGGAAACAATGTTTAAACCTTGAACTGAAACTATCTCATGAAGTCATCTTTAAATTACAAAAATTTACCTCCTTTAATAAAAACTGTTTGCCTTGAACACCGTGCTCTTTTCAAGAATTATCTATAAGAGATCAAATGGACAACTATAAAACATAGATGAGAACTTTAAGGAGCAGAGGGTCTAAATTAACAGTGGTGAAACAATATGGGCAGAAACAGGGAGAATGGTGACACAATGCAAAGAAAGTAACCATCATCAATGAACTGAGCATGTACATGGATGGGTGCATTCTTTGCTGTGGATGTTTTCACTGACAATAAAAAAATATTAGTAAAAAAATATGTTCATTTAATCAAGAAGTAATGGTCATCTGAAGGGTCAAAACTAGCCTTTCTGAATATATTATTTCTGTGTTCTAGTTTCCCAAATTGTGTCTTTGTCTAACATCAACTTACCTCAGTAAAAGCCTTAAAAAGGATACTGCAATGATTACTGCCAGACCAATAAGGAATGCAATACTCACAGCTATAAAAAGAAATGAAAAAAAAAAAAATCACCAAAAATATCATCATTAAAGTTGTCACGTCATTACATTTAATCTACAAGTGAAAGAAAAGCTCTATATTCTCATGCTAAATTTCCTACCAACAACTTAGAATGCTTTTCACCAGGGGAGTACTAATATTCATTACTGAAAATAGCTAACAAATGCAAAAGTAGAGAGAACTGTATAATAAACCTGCATATATCTATCACTTAGATTCTAAAATTATCAAGATTTTGTTACTTCATTTTTTGGCTGAAGTATTTTAAAGCCATTCTCAAGCATCATGTCATTCCATCCCAAAGTGAATCTCTAAAGCATATGGAACTGGTAAAATAAACATCATGTGCCTCCTGACATGATGCACTAACAAAGGTACAAAATCACTTCTGTAGTCTTCATACCAAAAATGTATAACTTCTACCTATTCATGAGAAAACATCAGGCAAATTCAAACAGAGGACAAAACATCAGGCAAATTCAAACAGAGGACAAGTCTATATATAACCAGCCAGTCCTCTTCAAAAGTGTCAAGGTTAACAAGACCAAAAGGTCAACATTTACTCTAATGCATAAAGAAGAGGAGGAGGCAAGGAAACTAGAGTACTAGAAACACACCAACCAGAACACAAGTAAAAAGAATACTGACACTTTGTGAAAAATGTAACTAATGTCACTGAACAATTTGCATACAAATTGTCAAATGGGAACCTAATTTACTTTGTAAACTTTCACCAAACACACAATAAAATATTACTTAAAAAACAAAAAGTGTCAAGGTCATGAAAGACTAAAGAATGGAGGAGATTAAGGAACTCTTGACAACTAAATGCACTGAAAAATCCTAGAGTGCATACTAGACCAGAAAAAGGGCATTATAAGGTACCATCAAAATTGATGAAATTTGGGTAAGTCTGTGGATCAGTTAATAGTATCATATCAATGTTAAATTCATGGTTTCAAGGATTGGGATTATTATAATGTGGGATAATTGTACTGTGGTTATATAGTTGGGAGATTTAGGGGTGAAAAGTACATGAGAACTCTTTTTTTGGTAACTTTTCTGTAAATTCAAATAATTTGGAAAACTAATTCCAAATAAATTTTTTTTTAATGGACTTTTGTTATATAACCACAATGTCATATAAAATTACAGTAATTCCCTGGTAAACACATCTAACAGAGTCCATATTCAAATTTTCAAAATCACTCAAAAATGTTTTATTGTTGTTAGTGTATTTGAATCAGGATCTAAACAAGGTCTACACTTTACATTTGCTTATTACATCTGTCTCGTTTAGTCTTAAGCAGACCTCATTCCCTCTTTTTCCCATGCCACAGACTTGTTGAAAACACCAAGTCGGCTGTCCTATATTCATGTCTCACAGTCTAGATTTGTCTGTGTACTTCCTTATGGTATCATTTAACTTATTCCTCTATCACCCATATGTCTGTAAATGGAAATTTAGCTCCAAAAGCTTGACTAGATTCAAGTGTAGCATTACTGAGTCAAGAATACTTTAAGATGGTTCTATGTAGGTCCCACTGACTGATAGATGTGTTCACCTGGTGACAGCCTGATCCTATTTGTAAAGTTACCCATTTTTCTAATGGTCTGATCCACTCATGATTTTTTTCCTGAATCAATCATTTCATCAGGAGTTGCAAAATACTCTGTCATTCCTATCACATTCATTAGCTAGGATTTTTCTATAAAGAACTTACACTCATCAGTAAAGGCTATTTGGCTATTAAGAACTAAAATTAAAATAGAAAAGACAGAATGCTCTTGTGAAACATTTAAAGTTAAATTTTTCCTTGAAATATACTATTTTAAATTGCTCCCATTAACATCAATAACTGCAACAATGAGCTCAAACATTACTAGGTCCTGGGCAATGTTTCACTCTGTCATACATGAGGTCTTCTTGAGTCAGAGCTGACTTGACAACACTAACAACAGTATTTTTGTTTTTGTTGGGAGGAGGAGGGGCTCTCTGTCTCTTTTCAGTTTCATAATGAACTCCTACTCTTTTCTATATACATTGTACTTTGTACATGTGTTTCCATCGATTATATCCATTATTCTTTTGATGGCTCCCTCACTTCATATTGACCTCTTTGTAATGACTCCTATATTCTTATGGCATGACCCCTAGTCTTCAATACCTTCCTTCTGAACAGTACTTACTAATAGCACAGGGATGCATTACTGTCCCTTGAAAGGCAGCACAAACAATATCATGCCATGGAGGAGGTCAAGGTGACAAATGTTCTTCCCTTGGAGCATTTAGAGAATGAATCATCCCTCCTTAACCTAAATGGAACTCTGGACTCTCAGTGTAAGAAGGAAAACTATCCAGGAAACACTGTACCCTAAATCCTGACACAAAGAAAGGTATCTGACAGTCAATTGTCCCAGTTTCTTTATACTGAATTAACATTTTTTTTGTTTCTTTATGTTTCATAGTCAAACTAAATAACAACTATGAAAGTATGTTGATATATCACATATATAATTTTCTTGGTATACATCAATGACGCAATAAATACATTATAATTACGTCATAAATATATGGAACAGATAACCTATAATCCAAGTATTAAATTACAGAAAGTGTTAAGAACTGCTCTGCTTTACAAACAGCACCCAAGAAAACTAAAACCTTGGAAAATACAATTAGAAAAATCAACAAAGAATGTATACTTACGAAGGTTACTGTCAACTGGATTCTTATTGACAGCTATGTCACAAGCAATTTCATTAACTCCATTACTGGGGCGCTTTACCAAGAGAGAATAGTTTCCATACTCTCCAAATTTGTATTCTAGCCTATAAATGTTGGGTAAAATTTTAAAAAATGGTTAGATTAGGAATAAAGAGTTGGCTTTGGCTAATGTCGTCAAGGCAGAGTGCTATGCATTCCTGGGTGCAGAGCAGGAAAGATTTAGAGGGGAGAAAAGCTAAAAACCAAATTGGGGGGGAAAAAAAAGCAGAGAGAAAATGCAGACTTCAGTCAGGCCAACATCAAAGCAGGTACGAACCTACAAACTTCTCTCTCTTCCAAGGTATCATTAAGCTGCAGGATGGAGCCATGCTGGGTGCTCACTGCTACAGCTGCAATGCTAGGCTTTCCAGGATTTCCACTCCTTGAAATATTTACCAGAGCCTGAGGCAAGCACTATGCAAAATGAAAACACAAAAGGCAAACTGCTAGGGGTCTTCCAAAATCTTTTGCTTATAAAAGGGTATGAACACCCAACTGAAAATCCTAAAATGACTTTTCCTTCATGCCCATAAAATAACTTTTAATTTTAACAATTCAGATAAAATGTATATAATTTTATATTAAAACAGTAACTAATTATATAACTATATGGGATTATAAAATCTATTCAAAAGTAAAATTTTTAACTAATAAATATAGCATACATTAAATTTTGCACAGGACAACATTTTGTTTTGTTATACTCTGGGTAGCATCTAACAACAATTGTTTCACTTTAAGGAGTAATGGTGCCACAGTAATTAAGTGCTCAGCTGCTTACTGAAATGTCAGTGGTTAAAACCCACTAGCTGATCTGCAGAAGAAAGATGTGGCAGTCTACTTCTGTAAAGATTACAGCCTTGGAAATCCCATGGGTCAGTTCTACTCTATCCTACAGTATCTCTATGAGTAGGAATTGACTTGATGGTAGAGATTTGATTTGGTCTTTTTTTTTTTTTTTGACAACAAGCAGGTCACTATACATTAAATTTCCTCCTCTGACAGTAGGTGAAACAAAGCTCCCAATTTGGAAATGTTGTTGTTGTTGTTATATGCCATCGAGTCGGCCCCGACTCATAGCGACCCCTCTTTGGGTTTCCAAGGCATTATCACTACGGAAGTAGGATTGCCCAACCTTCCTTCCGAGGAGTGGCTGGTGGGTTTGAACCGCCAGCCTTCTGATTAGCAGTCAAGTGCTTTGGAAATAAAGAATACTTAATTTTACATGGAAGAATAGCCTTGTCCTTAAAAAGTAACAAAGTTTAAAGTTAAAATAAAACCTTCAGATAAATTATTTATCATTAAAGGTAGTGCCTAGGAAAAAATGTAACTACCTCAACCTGTCCCTTCCTTCTGCTCTCACTACACTTGCTCTGGGAGAATACCCAGTTGTCTCACTCCTTCCATCCTTCTCTGGTCCAGCCAAAAGTTTATATATTTGACACAGAAGTAAAATAAAACAGTCTCTTAATTTTGCTCATCACTGAGAAGTTCATTTTATTAAGACAGATAGGAAAATTGTAATGAACATGCTACATACATGATAACAGATTTCAGAATTCCAGTAGAGAGTCAAGCTTGTCCCAAGTAGCTCATTATGGATGAGCAGCAAAGCCTGATCCATCTTCAGCTCCACATGCTTTTTTTTGTCCAAGTCTGGAAAAGAATCAGGAAGAAAAGTTTTTTTAAAAAAAAAAATAAAAAATCACCTGAAAGGTATTAAAAACAAGATGCACCTGTGCAACAGTGGCTTCACAGTGTTATTGTTGGTTGCTGTCAAGTTGACTTTGACTCAGAGAGACTCTATGTGACAGAGTAAAACTGTCCCATACAGTTTTCTATGCTGTAACCTTTATGGAAGCAGACTGCCAGGTCTTTCTCCCTCCATGCTGCTGGGTGGGTCTGAACCACCAAGTTTTGTGTAGCAGCTGAGCCCTAATTCAAATGCCTGCACTCTGGAACTCCTCTCTTCCCCGCTAGAGGCTTCTGGGATCTCTCATTCCTTACCTTGTTTATACATAGATGTGCACACACATATACATATTTCCCCCTTTTGCACAGCTGCCTCTACTACAAATAAGGATTCTGTCAGCACCATTCAGAGTGTAAAAGAACTGTTTAAGGAACTTACATTTCTCAAGTGCTAAGATGTGGCAGGCACCAAATTTAGTAGTTTCCACATAATCTTTCTAGTTTGATAATATGACAACCTCTATTTCTCCATTTGACAGGTGAAGAAATTAAGAGTCACAAGAATTAGATCATTGCCAACGGCCATAGTTTTTCAATAAAATCACAGATGTGAATGATTTCAAAAATTATTCGTGTGATTCTAAAACCCAAAATGTTTCCTCTAGTTTGTCACACCCTCTAACAGCTGATCAGAAATGCAGAATGCCACACCTTCTGACTCAAAACCTCCATGTCAGCAAGAACCTGGGGTGATTTGCACACTTTGAAGTTTGAGAAGCACTGCTTTGGACCACTTTGGTTGGAGTTCTGAATCTCTTTCCAGTTTTCTTGGGAGACTTGTGATGGATAAGGAGAAAGGATAAACCTCAGTGTGAAGGAAAGAAAAATCCACTGCTCCAGTATTCACACAGTTCACAGCTTACCTGATAGTTTCCTAGATATTCCTGAGGTAACACAAAGATGAAGCACATTCTAAAATATGTCTGCCAAAAAGGTAGGAAAACAAAGTGAACTGCAATTGGCTAAAGTTAAAGCAAAGTGGTTCACATAAACCAACTGGGCCATTTATATCAATTATATAATATATAATTACATTATATATATATAAAATATACATGTAAGAGGAACTCAATCAATTTACCCTCTAGCTTCTAGGTAAAAAAGAGCTCTGGTGGGGCAGTGCCTAAGCCATTTGACTACTAACCAGAAGGTTTGCAGTTCAAACCTACCAGCTGCTATGCAGAAGAAAGATGGGACAATCTACTTCTGTAAAGATTTACCACCTCAGAAACCCAAAGGGGATGGCTATGAGTAGAAATCGACTCGATGACAGTGAATTTGGTTTTTTTTTTGCTCTGGTAGCATAGTGGCTAAAGCACTTGACTGCTAACCAGAAGGCTGGCGGTTCAAACCCACCGGCCACTCCTCGGAAGGAAGGTTGGGCAATCCTACTTCCGTAGTGATACTGCCACGGAAACCCAAGGAGGGGTCGCTATGAGTCGGGGCCGACTCGACGGCACATAACAACAACAACAACAAGGCCAAAACAAGGCCAGGAGCTGACTGTGGAACAGACCATCAACTGCTCATATGCAAGTTCAACCTGAAGTTGAAGAAAATTAAAATCAGTCCATGAGAGCCTGTCCTGAACCATCTTCATGACTCTTAATATGCTTGAGCCTACTGTTGTGGTTATTTGCAATTCATAAGGTTTTCATCAGCTAATTTTTGGAAGTAGATTAACAAGCCTTTCTTCCTAGTCTGCCTTAGTTGAGAAGCTCTGCTGAAATCTGTCCACCATCAGTGACCCTGCTGGTATTTGAAATACCCACGGCATAGCTTCCAGCATCACAGCAACAGCCCACATCCCTCATTTTTAAGTTTACGTTCATTTGCCTTTATTTAGGCAGCAATGAAAACAAAACATAGAGTATGTAATTCTTAATAATCTACTAAAGCTGTTTCTTCTTTAGGCTAAATCCTTATCAATCACTTTTTCTATTCTTTTGTAAGGTTTTCAGTGGAAGCAGTGTTGGGTTAAGTCAATGGATTAAGTGATTGGGTTCCAAGTAGACCAAATTGAATTTTACCAAGCCTCAGTTCCCTCATCGGTAATTTAGTAGTCATAATCTACTTCCGTAGTGATACTACCTCAGAAACCCAAGGAAGGTTCACTATGAGTCAGGTCCAACTCAACGGCACATAACAACAACATCAATAAAGTGTACCTCATAAGATTGTTGGTGAAGGCCAAATTAGATAACATATACAAAGTCCTTGGCACAGAACCCAAAACCAAGGAAGTACACAACAAATGGTGACTATAATTAACTAGGCCATATGTAACCAATGGAGAGGATAACTGACACTTCGGCAGATTAGGAACATATGCTTAAATATTTTTAAAACTTGTTTCTTCTTTTTTTTTTTAATTTAACCTTATTTCCCATTTCTCCCTATTTCCTATTTCTTCCTATTGTAAGAAATTATGAAAATTAAAATGTTCTTCTTGTTGACTTATTGTTGTTGTTGTTGTTATGTGCTGGACCTGACTCATAGTGACCCTTCTTTGGGTTTCCGAGGCGGTATCGCTACGGAAGTAGACTGCCCAACCTTCCTTCCGAGGAGGGGCCAGTGGGTTTGAACCACCAGCCTTCTGGTTAGCAGTCAAGTGCCTTATGCACTATGCTACCAAAGATCCCTCTTATTGACATAGCTCCTTAAAAATGAACTTCCGGGATGTGAAATTTTTAAACAAAACTAGCTTTTTAAATAGCTTTTGAAACATACTGTCAAACTCTTCTCCAGTTTACTTGTGCTGATTTATAAGAACAACTGTGGTTATTAAAGGTTTGCCCATGCACCCAAACTTTCTGCTACCAGTATACTGAAACATAAGTCTATCTGTTCCCTGGCAACTGCACCTGTGATTAGTTTTATAATTCTTTTCTCAGTTTTTAACCTGATGAGTATAAATTGTTGCCTCTTTATTATTTCAGTTTTAAGGATATCAAGTTTGAACATGCTTTCCAAATATTTATCATCAGTATCTTCATGTGAACTGTAGGAATATTAACTTAACCTCTTTAATTTAACCACTGTGGCCTTAGGGTTCTTCTCAGGCATTTATTTAATTTCTTTACATAGCACATGACAAATCCTTTATCATGTTTGTTATAATTATTTGCTTAAGTATTCTTTTTTATTGCCCTTATTCAGTTTGATAGTTTCCATTTTCAAATTTATAGTCACAATTTGTTGACTCTTTCCTTTGTTCTTTTCCTTTGTATCATCATCCCTTCACAGTTGGAGTAACTATGGTTTTCACTCACATTTCTATGAGTCAATTTTTAATCTTTTCCTGGGGAGTTTATTGGTAGATGTAGCAAGGTTCTTTTTTTTTTTTGCAAGGTTATTTTTGATGCTTAGATTTTAAGTGCGAATTTTAAACTTAGGAAGCTCTTAAGTGTTGTCATTACTAATTGTTTTGTATAGGCATGTTTGGTATGCCTCAATCTTAACTGAATATCGGAATTACCCAGGAAGCTTGAAAACAAAACTAAATTCTAGGACCTGACACACGATCAATTAAATCAGAACAGTCTCTGCACACTTAGCAGGATTTTAAAAATCTCCATGATGATTTTAGTGTGCAAAGTTGAGGACCACAAGTTAGAAAAGACTGATTGTACAGCCAAGTGATCTAAACACCCTTTATTTTACTTTTTTGCACTGTTTGTTTGTACTTATTTTTCTGAAATAATGAACGTGGACCTCCCAGGATCGCATCTGGAGAATGGCTAGTATTCTCCCAGCTTCAGAAATGGGAGGGAAAACAAGCCTGCCAGAGACCCATTCCATTCCCATTTTGCTCAGCATCTGGTGAGTGGAAGATCTTCTGTAACAGTGTTCCAACTCTGGACAGGAAAGCCTCCTTCCAGAACTCTCTTTTGACATGATTCTGTCTCTTTCTTGAAACCTGCATGGCTGCCCTCAGACCCCTGGTGAAGTCCAAGATTGTCAAAAAGAGGGCTAAGAAGTTCATCTGGCACTAATCAGACCATTATGTCAAAATTAAATGCAACTGGTACAAGCCCAGAGGCATTGACAACTGGGTGTGGAGAAGATTTAAGGGCCAGATCTTGATGCCCAACAACGGTTATAAGAGCAACAAGAAAACAAAGCACATGCTGCCCAATGGTGTATGCAAGTTTCTGCTCCACAACATCAAGGAGCTGGAAGTGCTGCTGATGTACAACAAATCTTACTGAGCTCAGACTGCACACAACGTTTCCTCCAAGAACCACAAAACCATCATGGAAAGAGCCGCTCAGCTGACCATTAAAGTCACCAATCCCAATGCCAGGCTGCACAGTGAACAAAATGAATAGACCCCTCATTTACGAGTTTTATTTGTGGTAAATAAAACCATAAAAACTCAAAAAATTAAATAATAAATCTGTTTCAAAGAAAAAATTAGTCCACAGCACTCACAGCCCACACGAACCTCGGCCTCTTCTAGCCTGAAACCAGAAGAATCAGATTATGCTCAGCCACCACTACTCACCCTTTTGATCAGGAACACAATTCAAATCCACTGCCATCAAGTCGATTCGGACTCACAGTGATACTGTAGGACAGAGTGGAACTCTTCCCCCAGGGTTTCCAAGGCTATAAATCTTTAAGGAAGCAGACTGCCTCATCTTTCTCCTGCGGTGCAGCTCATGGGTTTGAACCACTGAACTGGTTAGCAGCCAAATGCCCTACCCAGTGCACCACCAGAGCTCTTTAGGGACACAACAGAAGGTCCCAAATAGAATAGGATAAAAATGAGAATAACATTCAAATTTCTCAAAAAGGCCAGACTTACTGGACTGACAGAAACTAGAAGAACCCCCAAGACTATGGCCCTAAAATACCCATTGAACTTGGAACTGAAGGTACTCCTAGAGATGACCTTTCAGAAAAATAATAAGTTGAGTTATAAAATAAACAACATCACCTGTGAGTAATGTGCTTCCTTAAACAATCAACTATATGAGACCAAATGGTCACTGTTTACCCCAAAGCAAAGAGGAGACAGGAAACTAGATTAATGAAAACAGTATGGAAATAATGAGAATTCTGACACATTGAAACAATTGTAACCAATGTTGCAGAACAATATACATATAAATTGTTAAATGGTAACCTAATTCGCAGTGCAAACTTTCACTTAAAACCCAGTATTTTAAGAATAAAATAAAATGAGTCTGTATCATTTGCATACTCACAAAAGGAGCCAATTACTAAGCCAAACAACCTCTTAAATGGAACCTGATTCTCAGCTTCAAGAAAAAGCAGTCAAATTCCTATACTGCCGACCTAAGAAATGGGCAATAATCATGGATCATTATACACAAAAGAGCAATTCTTTCTTTCTCTTACTTTCTACATTGTCTTGGTGAGGAAATAAACCAGTCATCTTCAATAACGCTGGGGTTATTGTGTATTGTGTAGTTTGTATATTAAACCTTTATTTCATTTCCAAATACTTAATTTCTGGTTTTAGATCTCTGATAATGAGTATCACTGCTGGACATATCTTAAGACATATTTTACTTTTTATGTCTTTTCAACTAAACAGTCAATCCTCAAATCATATGAGAATGGAGTTCTTAATAGGAAGTTCTCAAGCCCAAACTGGGCACCAGATGGCACTAAAACTTCAGCTTCTTGAAGATGGTAAGCTTAAGAATACTAATATCTCCCTTACTACATAGAAATATGATTTATACTTCCTCCTAAAATAACTATATTAATTGGTGCTGCAATACAAAAATAAAATGTTGGATCGGAGTCTGACCCTGACAAGCTGTGTGACTGGACGGATGGTATAACCTCTCTGGGTCTGTTTCCTCCATTATAAAAAAGGGGTGTGTGCACAAGATTGGAACTGCGTAAGGGGACAGTATATAAAAGAGTGATCCGAGGAGCATTTTAAAAATTCATTAGTTTTTGCTTCATCGGAGGAAGATGAGGGACAGTTTGAACTACACACATAAACACGAAAAACTCTCCAGATTCTGATGGGATAAGGCCAGGTTACTTACCTTTTCAGGTGATAGACCCTCCCTCAAATACTGGACCGAATGGGTTCAGTATTTGACTCATGCTACAATTCCAGACCGAAGAATCCCAGAAAGGACTTGTGAAAACGATCCTCTCTAGCCCTAGAGATTCTTGTTCCATGGTTTTGAAGGGAAGCTCTGGATTTACCATTCCCCCTGGTGAGTCCGTAGACCAAGCAAGTTGGGGGAACATTAGAAAAGTAAAGTGTTTCTCCTGCCTGACTGTACCCAAGAATCACCCGGGGGGCTTTTAAGATTACCATGGCTGGGCCTCCGCTGTCTAGGCCCCTCCCAGCTTTTGAGTGGTCAGGGTCCAGCCTCTCCAGGGGTGTAACATCTCTGCAAAACAGCCCAGCGCCAGCCAGCCAGCCGCCTGCAAACCATCATCTCTGCTGTCAGTCCCAACACAGCAGAAGAAAAATTTGCCTAATGGAAGGGAGAAAATGCCTACCACCTTAAAATCACCTACTCTTGCAATTAAGGAGCACTGGTGGCACAGTGGTTAAGTACTTAGCTGCTACCTGAAAAGCTGGTACTTGGAACCTACTTTCTACTCCTCGGGAAAGAGGTGCTTTCTTGAAGCCTTGGAAATCCTGTGGGGCAGTTCTACTCAGTCCTATGGGGTCACTATGAATTGGAATTGATTCCACATCAACGGGTTTGGTTTAGAGGGTTTTTTACTCTTGCAATTAACGCCCCTACCCCGCTGCCTTCTCCTAAATTTACTCCTAGGAAATTTACTCCCGACTTAATTAACCCAAGCTTAGAGGAGCCGTTCTCCATCCATCTTCTGACCAGGGGTTAATTGCTTCCGGTGCTCGCAACTCTAGCGACCTGATCCGAGACAGCGTCCCCACGCTCCTGCACTCCTCAGCTTTCCCACCCTGCGGAACGCCCAACTGCTCCTACTCCACCCTTCCCAGGATCTTTTGGGGCCTGCGCGTGTTCGTTTTTGTAACCCCTTAAAGTCTCTCCACATGGTAAAGGATGGATGTTGTGTAAGTCACTTCTTTGCCAGTACGTCTCATTTATTTAGCTTTTGCACTTGGCGAGTCATAAATCTCTAAACCAAAAAGCACGTTCATATTTAGATGAAAGGCGTCTCAAGACTCGCTAGGATGCCCCCTATCCACCCGTCTTGAGGGGAGTGTGTTCTGGACGCCCCCTTACTCGCAGCTCTCGGAGAGGCCTGAGCTGGCCAGTTGTTCTCCCCTCGGGCTCCCGGGGAACGCGCCCACGCCTCCGGCTGGCCGCAAAACGAGCGCGACTCAGGCCATTCTAGGTGGTTTTCCCATTTCAGCGGGTTTTGTCTGGCTCCTCCACTCCACTAACCCCGGGCCCCATGATGCTGATGTGTGTGGTGCTTGCAACATCGGCCAGATTTGTCTAAAACAAGAAGATTGCTGGCCCGGGTGGAGCACACACACAATCGTAGTTTCAACAAAAAATCCAGTTCCGGAGAATTATTTTTTCAGAGGACTCGCTCCGCGTCCCGAGGCGGTAGCAGGGCGGCGCCTCTCCGAGAACGAAGGCACAGTGGCGCGGGGCCTCCCCAGTGCCCAGCCGTCCTGAGGGGCCGCAGCGGCGCGCACTCACCTCCCAGCGGCGCAGAGTCGGCGCCTTGCTCCGGGGAGTCGCCGGGGGCCAGCAGCGCAGCGCTCAGCACCGACGCGAGCAGGAGCAGCGCGGCCAGAGCCCGCCCCGCCGTCCCGCTCATGCTGCCCACTGCAGCCGCCAACTCAGGCCGCCGCTTCCGCCCCGGAGGCGCCTCCGCAGCCGCACCTCGGCCTCCGCCGCGGCGCCGCTCCCGCCCTGCACACTCGAGCGAGCCGCCGCCGCCGCGCTTCCCACCCCTGCGCTCCTCCGCAGCAGACGGCCGCGCGCCCGTCATCGCCTCCCCCTCCGATGCCGTCACCGCTGCCGCTTGAGTCACTAGCTGGAGGGGGGCGGGGGGGATTTAGCGGGAGCGGCGGGAGTCGGGGGTGCGGGGAGGTGCTGCCCGGCGGGTAGGCCCGAGGGGGCGGGCCCTACCGTGGGGAACGCTTACTACTCAGTGCGCAGTTTTTTTTTTTCCCTTGGAAGAAGCGTGCTGCGAGGCCTCCAGCAAGTCATTCCCCAATCCTGCACCACTTTTCTGTGCAAAATTCTACTAAATTCTAGCATGTAGTCATTTACTATATAAATGAGTGTTAGAGTACTCTGTCCCGGGCACTGTTCTGAAAAAGCCACGGTAAGGAAGACTGGCAGAGTCCCTTCTCCTAAAGGCGTTTACTGTCCTGAGGGGAAGCCACTACTTAAATAGCCGCAAAGTGGTATCACCACTTTGAAGAGCTCTTTGCTGCACTCACACACCAAAACCCAAATCCTGTGCCATCCAGTCAATTCCCACTCATAGCGACCCTGTAGGGCAAAGTAGAACTGCCCCATAGGGGCTCCAAGGCTGTAAATCTTTTTTTTTTTTAAATTTCTGAAGTTTTTATTGATCTTAAATTTGAAACAATCTCGTTTGTACCACAAGCATGAATACATTATCTTCAATATATTTTTCTAAAACTTATTCTACTGAATAATGAAACAGGCTGTTGCATAGCCTAATGTGAAGTTTCATTCCAGTAGTTTATATATTTAATAAGGACAAATTAAAAAAAAAAATTGTAACATCCTCTAACAGAACTGTACACAAACAGAAAGCCATTTTTTAAATGACTTGTCAAACTTATCATTATATATGTGTTTAAAAACACAACTCTGCAAACATTTGGGACAAGAAGCAAGTAAAGACTTTAGCTTTACAGTGAGTTTTTGAGACTCTGCCTTTCTAAACAAGAAGGAGATGTGTTGCTTTTTGCTGAAAACTCTTTTTATACTTAATTCCACTAGATTATTAACATACAGAAATTTCACATTTACCACATTTTGTCAGATCCAGATCATCCTGACTTTTTTCTGTCATGCAGGTTGAGACCTATGTTCACTGCATAAACTGACTAGTTCCAGAAGGTAAAGAACATCCCTACTGCTCCTACTGTTAGTGGACCAACCCCAAGTTAGTATTCCACTCTTATCCTTGCAGAGAGGTTGCTTGATCCTTTTTCATCAACATCCCCTTAAGAAATGCTGCCACTGAGAAAAGGGTTCAGCTAACCCACTGTACTCCTGGTACAAGAGACAGGGCACAGGGAAAGGAGGATTTAGCTAGTGACAGATCTACATATACCTTAGATGTGTGCCCTAGAGCACAACACTGCCTCAAATCCCCTCGTTTCCAGTCAGGTCCCTTCTAAAGTGTAAGTAAAATCTACAGTGTTGTTAAGTCTATATTATCAAACATGAAGCTTCTCTTATTACAGGAAATAATCCTTCTTTGACTTAAAAAAAAAAAAAAAAAAAAGTTTCCCTTTAAGGAAATAACACCACTGACTACCTAACCTGATCATGAAATTTATTAACTTGTTTTAAATGTGACTCAGAGAGTCATCTAGAATTCAGTGACAACTACTATGAGTTTGTTTATTAACGAAAAGTAAGAAAAAGATGACTAATTTGGTAAGTAGATGTAAGGATAAATTAATTAAGTTCCAAACCAATTTTTCATTCTAAACACACATAAAGAATTTTTACATTCAAGATTATTTTTAAGGGCTGAAATGATCTTAGGTCATCCAGCCCAACTTCCATCCAGATATCATACCTCCCACATACAGTAGTCTCTTCTGAATTATAAAAGTTTATAATTCAGTTATATATTTCCAAAAAACCTACATAAATAAAAATTATCTATCTATAGAAATATCTATTTAGCGATGCCAAGGCTATAAATCTTTAAGGAAGCAGACTGCTTCATCTTTCTCCCACAGAGCAGCTGGTGGGTTTGAACCGGTTCAAACCGCTGACCTTTTGGTTAGCAGCCAAATGCTTTACTGCATGCATACACATTAAGCCCAAATTCTGCTTTTAGCTATATGTCTGGAGAAACTCTAACTCATAAAGGCACATGTACAATAATGTTTGTAGCAGCATCGTTTGAAACGCTGAAAACTGTAAACAATCTGAATGACTGTCAATGGGAAATGGATGAATTGTGGTATATTATACCTAGTGATACTGCCTTGGAAACCCAAGGAGAGGGTCACTATGAGTGGGGTCCGACTACAAGGCACATAACAACAACAACAACATACATGTAAAAAAAATTTACAAGTTTTGCATATGAAAACAGAAAAAGTTCTCTTATCCACAACACTAAAGGTATCTTGTTAAATTTTAGAAGCACTTAACAAATTATCTTTTAGTTATGCTTTAAATTATAACTAACCTTTAGAAGTAGCTTGTTTTGTTTCACATACAGGTTAACTCCCACTTTTCCAAAGTTTGCTTTATGGCTCTAAGGTTTTAGAAAGATCAACACATTAGTTCCTGTTTTCACTAACAAAGAAATCCAAAGAGGATTTTCTCTTTTATGAAAAAAAGGGCAAAAAGCGAAACTAGTGTTCAGTTTTTGTTTTCCCAGGAGAGGTTAAAAAGGCGGAGATCACTGGGAGCAATGGACAGTGCCATGGCCAAGGGAACAATACTCAGCATCTCAACACCAAGCTGCCATAGCTTTGAACTGTGTGAGCACTAAGTGTTATTTGGTAGGATTTGGTGGGTTATTTTTGGAGTCTGGGAAAACTCAACAAATTTTCCTATATAAATCAATGGTAACTGCTCCTTTACTACTTTACAACCATTTCAGCTTAGGAGAGATTTTGTAGGAATGCTCTACCTTTGGGTAGCAGGTGACCAGGATCACTAAAACCAAAGAGGCTAGTTTCATTATTCATTAATTATCACTTGAAACTTGTTCTTTTAGAAAACAATATAAGTGAACATTTGTGTTTTCAAAACTTAAGGGGTCTTGTAACCATGATTCACAATCTTGTGGTTGTCTTGTAATTGTTTAGAAGTTTTTATTTGAACTTTAATGATATTTGAACCAATACTGTTTTTTTAATGTAAATGGCACCCAATCAGAAATTTTTAACAACAGCAATAAGAATGATCTAGAACGACCTGTATCAACATGGGCAGATCTCAAAAATAAGGCTGAGGGGAAAATGCAAGTTGCATAATACCTTTGGAATAACATTTATATACAGTTTAAACAAAACCAACTCACTCCCGTTGACTTGATTCCAACTCATAGAAACCCTGTAGGACAGAGTAGAACTACTCCATAGGGCTTCCAAGGCTGTAAGTCTTTACAGAAGCAGACTGCTGTACCTTTCTCCTGTGGAGCAGCTGGTGGGTTTGAACTACCAACCTTCTGGTTAGCAGCCAAGTGCTTTTAACCAGTGTACTATGGGGGCTCCATTTGTTCTTTAACCAACACCAAACAAACCCACAACCATCAAGTCAATTCTGACCCATAGCAACCCATAAGGTTTCCAGGGCTGTAAATCTTTGGAAGTAGATTGCCTCATCTTCCTCCCACAGAGTAGCTGGTGGGTTTGAACTGCTGATCTTCTGGTTAGCAATCAAACGGCTTAACCACTGTGCCATCAGAGCTCCTTGTGTGTATAAACAAACAAAAATTAGTTGCCAAGGAGTTGATTCTGACTCATAACAAACCCATAAGGTTTTCATATGGCTGTAGTGTAGTGGATAAGCTATTTGACTAGTAACCAGAAGGTCAGAGCTTCAAACCCACCACCAGCTGCTCCGTAGAAGGAAGATGAGGTTATCTACCTCTGTAAAGATTTACAGGAGGAGAGACAACGCAGGGACGCCAGAGTAGCAGGCCAGAAGAGCAGGAGAAAGGGGATAAAAGCCTTGAACCCAGACAGAAGAGCAGTCAGCCCCAGGGATACAGGTGAGGAGGGACAACTCAGGGATGCCC